CGAAAACGTTTTTGAGTGTTTAGGATCTAGATATCGTGGGACCACCAATTTTAATGGAAAAGTACAAGACGCCATAGATAAAATGAAACACGGCAAAGCACCAGTCCCAACATGCCCATTGAAATTATCATGGCACTAGAAAATGTGGATATCACCGAATTGACAGCATTGCTTAACATCATATAACACCGGAGAGGTACCAGAGGATCTGAAGAAATCAATATACCCGTAATTTATAGCATTGCCAAAAGCATACGACAATTTGTTTTGTGAGTAAACTTAATGCAGTCCTCCGCCGGGTACATATGAAAAGAATGAGAAATAAAATACTTCCTGAAATCTCTAAGACACCAAATGTCATATTCTCCCTAATAATGGTCATGGAAAGATTATTTGAAGTCCAAAAAGACTTTTAACTCTACTTTATCGACTACTGTGAAGTATTTATCAAAGTGACACATGAAAAACTATTCAATATCCTAACAGATCTGTACATAGTTGGAAAAAAAACTGAGAATCCAGAGAAACCCTTACTGGGAACAACAGGCAGCAGTCAGCGCTGATAACGAGCTCAGCGAACGTAGGTCAATCCGTAGAGGAGTACGACACACACAGGTGTGTCCTATCTCCAGATCGATTTAATTTATACAGCGAAATGATACTGTGTAACATCAATGATAATGAAGGAATCAAGGTAGGCGGCCACAACGTTAACACCCTATGGTATGCTGGTGATACAGTCTTGATAGCTGGCTGTGGGTCAAAGCTCCAATATATTATAAATAGGGCTAACAGAGAAAAGCGAAGAGAAGGGATGACTGCTGAACGCTGAGAAAACAAAATGCTTGGTTATCTTTAAAAGTGCTGACACCCCAGAATGCAACGTCATGAACGAAAGAATAAAATTGGATTAGATAGATCTATCTTAGTTACACGATTACATCATATGCAAAAAAAAATGACACAGAGATTTTTTTTTTTAGGATTGCAATATACTTGTATATCTAAAGAAACTTTCAGCAAGGTGATAGATACCTATCATGTCAAACAGAAACATAACAGTGAACACAAAAATATGAACACTGGAAGCGTACGTGTAGTCTGTCCTTTTGTGTTGATGCAAGGGCTGGACTCTAAATAAGGACAAGGAGAGATGACTGGGGACCGTAGAAATGTGGCACTTTAGGAGAATACTCAGAATCTCATGGACAGAGGAGAAAACAAATAAAGAAGTGCTCCAAAAGGCAGGTTGTGGAAGATCTATAATCAGAGCGCACATGAAAAGATAACTGAGATTCTCAGACCACATAATAAATAGATCAAATGGATGAGGGAAACCAAAGATTCTCTACTCTTTAAAGAAGAGCGCATTTCACTGCAAGTATTCAGCTCTATTCGACTTCGGTTGGAAATTTTTATTTGATAGGAAGATCGAACTGTATCTGTAGTAGAGAATCTTTGGGAAAACTGCTGCTGTGTGGACAGATAGGGGGAAAGAAGAGCAGAGGAAGATAAAGAACAACAACACGGCTGATTTGCAAAGAATAACTCAAAGAGATCAACCGAGCTGATTAACACGACAGACAACAGGAAGGAATGGGAAGCCATGATAGTCAATGTTTGCTCCAGACCTGATACATGAAGAAGAAGAAGGGTCTTCGGGGGTGATAATAGTGGTAAAAAGCAGAGCATGCTGTAGATCGCGGATATACGTTATATAAATGCAGTTATTATAACCTTTAATTTTATGCTTTTTCATTATGATTATTCAGACAACAGTTGAGCGCACAACTAAACGGGAAGTTGGCACCTGTGTCTCTCTCCTGCTTCGTGCCACTAGAAGACGCGAAGGGTCATATCGAGGCTGTCTTACATGACGTCAGCCCTTTTCAGTGGCGCCACCTGTCGGTGGGCGAGACTCGTGAGAGCTTCCGCTGCTGTATGATGACGATGCTGAGTCTACTGGAGGCTGAGGAAGAAGTCTTGCCCCTTCCAGAGCTCAAACGCTGGCATCTATTGCCTTGCAAACCCGTTAGGGTGAGATGCCAATTAATGTAGCCCCCACCTCTCTCCTCCCTCCCCTTCCC